CTCATTAAGTAAAGCTGCCCAGCTGATAATTTTGGCCCAAAAATGGTTAACTTGTATTACTAAATGCTAACTAAATGTCGGGCTAAATCCGATGGTTTCGATCTGGAATTTTGGGAATCCCCCTGTATGAGTTTAAAGTTAATGGAAAACTTTATTAACTATGAGCATATCTTTTATCAAAAAGAGAAATAATCTGCGTTATGCGGAAAAATTCTCGGACATAATCCATAATAAGTTATCTTGTTTAATATTTAAAGGTAGAGTACACGTAGATCACTTGCCATATGACTTTAATCGTAAATTTTTTTATTTTGATATTTAAAAATATTTTCACTAACTTAACTGCTTTTAACTTTTAAGCAAAATTGTAAAGCAGATGTTTATGATTCTAATGATAGTAAAATTATTATTATTTAAATTCGGATTAAAATTCGTTGAGATAGGTTTATTTAAAAATTTGGTATATAAATCTATTATAAAAATCATATGATAATCAACCAATCAGAAAGTTACCCTCTAGAATTAATGTATTTGTAACAACATGTTACACGTAACAACCTCGGATTAGCCAATAGTAGTTAGAGTTAAGGTTTGGGTTACACGAAGTTTTGGTTATTTTTATTGGTCGTACTAATTGAGTTGTTACAAATAAGCGCGTAACAAGTTGTTACAATTAGATTCGTCCTTTTTCATAAACTATTTTAATTTATATACAGTATCTTAAAAATTTTATTAGTACCATATTGTACTCTACCCTTAAACGCCGAATTGTAATTTCCCTTGGCATTCAATGACTTTCAGTAAATTGAAAAATTTTGTACTAAATTATATTTTCAATTGTTTTTTTTTCGTTCTTTAAATTAACTATATAAAGAATGATGTCTTCGCAAACTTCAAATCAAAATCAAAATAAGCCCATGTTCCACGCTACATTTCTTGATGGTATCCGTGGTGTGGCAGCTTTAAGTGTCGTTTATGCTCACTCCCAGACTGTGTATAAACAAAGTTTGACTTTTAATACATTCAACAAAGTGGGAACTTATGGAGTAATCATGTTCTTTGTGCTTTCCGCTTTTTTACTTACTCTTCGGGTGCTATTGGATTGGGAACAGTATCACGAAAAGAGAAAAAAGAAAAAAGATACTGATTCAGTTGTAAATCATTTAGAAAGTGGTGTGGATCTCGAACAAAACTTATCAAACGTTCCACTCTTATCAGCGACGGATTCTGATAACATTGTAATGTTTTACTATATATTTATATTTAATTGAAATTATTTTATAATTATGGCTAATCGTTTACTAATGAAATATTAGACTGAAATATCCTCATTAGAAGAAAAACCTGTCAATTTTTTTCGCTATTATATACGACAAAAAATATGGTTAAAATATCAGATACCAATAAAATTTTGGTTAAAGTTCTTTCTTCGTCGATTTATGCGTGTATACCCACCGTATGCAATTATTTTATTGTTTATTGCATTTAATGGTTTTGTGAGAAAATCATATAGAAAATTTATGGATTCCTCGACTTTAATTCAGCATCTATTTTTTCAAGCGGATTATTATTATATTTTTTGGACTATTCCTATAGAATTAACGGTATTTATTTTTCTAATAGTTTTTAATCAAAAAATTTTTTCG